TATTCAATACATACGATTTTTGTGGACAATACTCATTTTTATGTTTTTAATTTAATAGTTGGTCTCGTGTATTTAATCACATACGATTTATGTGAAAAATATTTGTTTTCACGTTCTTGATTCAATAAATCATATGTGATGATATATATATATATATATATATATATATATATATATATATATATAATCACATGTAATTATATACACGAGAACAACTATTGAATCAAGAACATTAAAACAAATTTATGTCCAGATTAATCATAAGTGATTAAATACTTATAATCACATGTAATTAAATATATGAGAACAATTATTGAAACGAAAAATAAAAAATGAATATTGTTCATGTAAATCATATGTAAATGGATACATATAATCACATGTGATTATGCGTATCAAATTATATATGATTAAAGTTAACAAAAAATAATTATTGAATCGAGAATGAAATAATGACATATGTGATTAAATATATCTAACAACATTTGATTAAATATATCTAATCACGTGTGATTATATGTATCTAATCACATGATTTATATGTACAAAAAAAGAATATTCTCCATATAAATCATATGTGATTAAATATAAATAATCGCATGTGATTATATATACATAATCATAGGTGTTGGTGATGGGTGGTGGTGGTGTGTAGTGATGTTTGGCGGTGGTAGGTGGTTATAGTGGTGAAGGGTGGTGGGGGTGACATGTAGGGAGGTGATTATAGTGGGTAGCATGTGGCGGTGGGGAGTGGTGGTGATGGGTGGTGGAGACGGGTGAAAGTGATAGGTAGTGGTGGTGGGTGGGTGGATGGCGGTTGGTGGTGAGGGTGGTGATGGTGTATGGTGGTTTTGGTATGTGATCGGTGGTGGAGGCGAGTGGTTGTGATAGGTGGTGGATGGTGGTCGTGGGGGTGATGGATGGTGGTGATAGGTGGTGGGTGGTGGTTGGTGATAGTGGTGGGTGGTAATGACAGATGGTGGTCATAATGGTGAGTAGTGGGTGGGTGGTGGAGGTGGTGGGGGCAGGTGATGGTGGTGGTGGGTGATAGTTTTGGTAGGTGGTGGTGACAAATGGTGGTCGATAGTGATGAGTGGTGGTCGATAGTGATGAGTGGTGGTGGGTGGTAGGTGGTGATGAGTGGTGAGTGGTTTTGGTTAGTAAGTTTTTTAATTGTTTGTAACAAGTGATAGATTTTTATGAGTATTATGTGATAGTTTTAATTAAAAAAAACTATGTGGTTGAAATTTGTTCTCAATTGTTCTCGAAATAAGAAATGTTTTCGATTGAATGCTCCTCTATATATACCTGTTCAGATTCAAAATTCATATTTTTTTGGTACTCTTTAAACATAGATTCATATTGATGTTTAAAAAAAATCGAAATTTCAATTCAAATTCAGATTGTAACCTCTTCAGATTCACATGATTTTTACAATGGACGAACATGCGCCAGATTATAAATAAATAAATAAATAAATAAATAAATAAATAAATAAAAAAAAAAAACTCACTTTCTTTTTTTAGTTAATTTTTTTAGGCAATGTTTTTAACGAAAAAAAATCGAATATACCATTGTTCGTGATTTTACGTTCTCTTTCCATAGAGATCCATATTGATATATAAAAAATAAACTTTTTTTTCTTTCAAAAAGCCCACTTCATTTTCTTTGTTTGTTGAAAAGTTAAGGTTTATTTTTTGTAGAAAAAAATAACAAATATATCAAAATTCATATTTTTTGGTACTCTTTAAACATAGATTCATATTGATGTTTAAAAAAATCGAAATTTCAGTTTAAATTCACATTATGAACCTATTCAGATTCACATTGTGAACCTGCTCATATTCACATTGTGAATAATAATAAGTCAAATTCACAATGTGAATATATTCATTTGTTGATTTTAGAACAAATTACTGAAATCGTGCCTACGGTTTGGCTAAAATTACGCGTTTGGTCCTAACATTTTTTTTGCACTCGGACCATCCTCAAAGTATGATTTTATTGCGTTTTTCGTCCCTCGCATACTTGAAAAGACTATATTACCCTTTGTTTTTTCTTTTTCAATTTTTATATTATTTATTAATTAAAAAGGTAAATTAATAAATATATGGCCCCAACACATACACTCCTCCATTCCCTTCCCTTCCACCCTTCCCTTCCACCCTTCCCCTCCGTCAACCTCTGATTAACCACCAACATAACCTTCGACAACGCCTCCGTTAACCTCCCAACATCACCACCATTCACCTCAGAAAACCATCACCAGGCACCACACAAAATCAATTGAATTTGAACAAAAAAACAAGCAAACTTCATGTAATCAAAATCAAAACCTGAAATCCAACCAAAAAAACCTGTAACCTGTAACAAAAATCAAAATCAAACAAGAAATCATGAACAACTAACTATTCGATGAATCAATGAAACGCTAATCCTCCATCTGAAAACACTAACATCGACCTCCAATTCGTCGATCTGTGTAATTGGATTTCATCAACAGTTCATCAATTAATTGAGTGTCGACTACTGATGAATCTCGGTCTCGGTTAATAAACTCCTCCGGTTATATCCCGTCCCCAAAAAAGCTGAAAAGGAGAAGGATGCTCTAATCAGATCCATTAACCATACATAAGAAATTTCAAAGAAGAAGGTCCAAGCATAATGACTTTGGTCAAAGCACTGGTGATTTTCAGAAGCGATGAAGGTGGTGGCTTGATTCACCTAAGGCGATGGTGGTGGTGCCTCATATTTCAGAAAATCACCTGTTTTAGTAACATTATGGTGGTGGTGGCTCTAATTTCAATAAGACGATGATGATGGTGGGAGATTTAAGATACAAGTTCAACGAAGATATTCGATTTGAGTTCAAGAGCTTACATTACAGATCTTTGATTTGAGTCCAAGATCTTGTATTGCGGATCTTCGATTTTCGATTTAAGATCTTCGTCGGCAGTGCAATGGAGGAACAAGAGGGAAAAAGCACAGTGAAGGTGAGTGTTAGGTCACTGGTGAGGGTTTACCAATTTAGGGGGAATAGATGATAGTGGCGGTTGGCGGATGATGACGTGTGGTGTTCACCGGATTTCGTCTCGTCGAAGATGGCAATGATTTACAGGGTGAGTAAAGGAGTGGTAATGAATGGCCAGTAAATTGGAAGAGTCTTGAACACGTGAGAAGGAAAAGGTTGGGTATGGGCCCATTCTATTTCTTTTAAGAAATATAAAAGAAATAATAAAAATAAGTAGAAAATAAATTGGAGAGGGCAATATAGTCCTTTCAGGTCGGATATGGACAAAAAACGCAATAAAATCATACTTTGAGGACGGTCCGAGTGCAAAAAAAAAATGTTAGGGACCCAACACGTAATTTTAGCCAAACCATAGGGACGATTTCAGTAATTTGTTCTTGATTTTACAAAACTAATTTATGAATAATGAAAACGTTATAATATTATAAAATTACAATGAATATATTTCGATTCATATGTAAATTTCACTAAGTTAATTTGTGAATGATGAAAGAGTTGTAATAGTAAGTCAAATTCACATTGTGAATGTTACAAAAAATTAATATTTTTTGTATAATTAGTTTTTTTTTTGGATAAAAGTAAACTTAAATATTGAAACAAGATGGATCTCTATGGAAAGATGACAAAAAACATGAACAACGGTATATTTGGTTTTTTTTTTCGATAAAAAATGTGGTTTAAAAAATTTAAACGAAAAAAAAAAGAGGTGGGTTTTTTGGTAAAGAGGTAAAAAATTTTGGTATAATCTGGTGTGTGTGTGTGTGTATGTGCGCGTGCATTCAATGTATAAGTGTACATCTATTTCCTTGGTCGTTGATCATTATGATTTCCGACGCTCACAATTGATTCCTTGGTGGTCTAATCATTTTTGGTAATTAAAAAGTGATTATCCTATTTAATTAATAATCTCAAAAAGGTTTTAAGGGTAATTATATCAATTTGGTTAACAATCAAATAAAGCATGTGAGATATTTTTGATACTAACCAAACAATCAAACCCAATTTCAATAAATTCGAGATTTCAATTTGATTCTCCAGATTATGGAGTTAATAGATGATAAAGAACCATACAAAACTTTCTATAATTATGCATTCTTACAGGAATGAACTTACCTAACTTAAAAAATGAACATGCAATAAGAATTCATATTCTGACAGAATAAATATACAATAACCTGGATTTACTCATGAATGCGTATACATAACTTTTCTAATTATACATTCTTAGAAGAATGAACATACATAAGTTCAAGAACCAAACATTAAAGAATGAACATTTATGTGTTTACATAGTATAACAATAACTATTCTAGCATAATGCAATATGCATATTCTAACATAGTACAATGAAATATATATATATATATATATATATATATATATATATATATATATATATATATATATATATATATATTTCAATTATAAAATCATGTAAAAAGTATTACATCAAAAAGAAAATCTTAAAAAACATTCTTTAGTGTTACTTTAAGAATGAATGATAATACATGTTGTTATAATGACATTTTGTGAGAATGTCTTTTATAAAATCAAATTCTAACATTTCTTTTTGCTCTGGATCCATGAAGCTGTAAGTGGGAGTAACTCCAAAAACCATAATCTTTTGTTGCTTATCTTCCCTTTTCATCAAGAGTATCAAAATATGCTTCTTCTTTGTCTTGTTTTTTTCTTTTTTAGTATCAAAATATCCTCCGTCTTTGTCTTTTTCTTTCTTTCTTATGTAGCACTTAGAAGCATGTAATGCTGATAGAGTGTATTTGATTTCATTCTAAATATGTATATACGCTTCAATTGAAACACAAAATAAAAATGAAACAACAAACACAAAATAAATAAAGTACAACAATTGTGAACATAATTTGATCAAATGGAATTTAACTAACATGAATCGATTGACTGGTCCAGACACCGCTTCACGATAATCAAAAAAACACTTATATCATGTTTATCAAATGAGCCCTAGAGGGTCAATTCTCGATTTGGACACCAATTTGAAGATAAGATGTGGAATCCAACAATGATGATGACCCGGTGGTGTCTTCAATTTGGCGTTGGGGTTAGGCGACGATGATGGCTCAACGGCGGAGAGACACGCACCAGAGATGAAGATCCCCTCTCCGCTTCTTCCATTTGCAGCCGGATAAGCAAAAATATCTCGTCTCCATCTAGATTTGTGTGGTGATCTATCCTCTGCACCACCTAGTGTCTTTCTTTCTATGAATCACACAAACACAAAAGAGGTGGCATTTCCCTCCTAGGATGCACCATTATCATTTCCAATTAAGGCCACCGGCGCCGGAGAAACAGGGGTAAGTGTGAATCGGTGCATATATGATTAGGCCGCTTAGGGTTCTTGAGATGTAGCAGAGATTTAATGGTAATTGACCCATTATTTAAGGATTTGCCATATATATTCTAATTTATTTTTGGTTTATAGAAAGGTTACACACACAATAATTAGTCATCCACATTTGAACCTCTCTCTCTCTCTCTCTCTCTCTCTCTCTCTCTCTCTCTCTCTCTCTCTATATATATATATATATATATATATTATATATATATATATATATATATATATATATATATATATATAAGCAATAAATGAGTTTTAAAGTGGCAAGTTAAACTAAAATTTAATGGCAATTGTCCAAATTATATTTACAAATTTTGTAACTATGCAATAATTATACGATAATTAAATAAATGATGCAATTTATAGTTTTTCCCACTTCCTGCCTAGAATATACCATGTTTCTTTCCCCTCGTATAAATACAGAACCCATGATGAAAAGAAATGTAGCTCCTAGTGATTTCACAACATCCTGCAAATGAAGAAGGTTATCTTGATATGCTTCCTACTCATAGTCTGTGTATATGGATCAGGTTTGAAACCAATCACTCTTAATTTGGAATCATAGACATATCTATCATTTATTGAATCATTGTATTTATATTATTTTTATTATTTTGATAAGGCGTTTCAAGGTTTCCATCCAAGCCAAAAGGCACCCCAAATCCCCCAAGTGGGCCTTCAGCTCCTGGTTATCCATGCAAAATCGCCGCTAATTGCAAATTTGATTGTTGGTGTCATCAGAATCAACAACGTTGTACAAATGGTCGTTGTTATTGTGGTGACAAAAAATGTTAAGTCTTCTAAAGTATTCAGATATCACTGGCAATGAATTTATTTAGCCAATATAAATAAATCTGATAAATTTTGATTTGTGAAACATTCAATCGCAAGTTGCAAAAATCGTTGTTCGTGAACCATATGTTCGTCTTACCACTTAACCAATACCATTTAATGCTCACTTAGATTTATAAAGACAAAAAAAAAATGTTTTTGATGTTTTATTGAATATACTAAGCTAATGTCTATCATTTACGCATGAATAAATATATAACATAAAAAGATTATTAATACATATATATATTGTTAAAAAGAGTTATTAACTATAAATTAAAAATTATTATAGTAATATAAAACATTATTAGCAAATTTTCTAATATTCATGTTAATTGATAAAAAGTAATTGTCAAAAACTAAAAGTTCGTACATTCAAATAATATATCAACCAATTCATATGAAATCATATGTGAGAAGAGAAAAAATTAAAAGAATCAATAGGAGAATAGTTACAATTTAGATCCACCAACTGAAATGTCAAATAACATAGCAATGTAGCATATTGAAAATGTATGTTTATTAATAAATTTGATTATGATATGTTTGTTTTTTGGCTTTGAACAGCACATCGTATTTTAATTTTAACCAGATTGTCACTTTGTGAGAGTACCAGTTTAGTAAACATTATGCATTTTATTATGCTTAATTAGTAATGATATCTGATTTCTTATCAGGGTGGTATGGGAAGAAAGAAATTTCAAGGGTAAGGGTCAGTAAAGTCTTTATGATTCGTTAAATCAGGATAATCATCTGGTAGATCTTGTCGCATAGGAGAAACAACATCAAGAACAAGGTTTAAAGATTCTAAATTGTAAAAGGTAATTGACTGGATTTTAAATTGGGGCATACTCCTTCTATTGTCTCATTTGCTCTTATTTTTTTGTTTCTACCCTACGAATCCACACTATTTTGGCATATCCATACTTTTAGAATCTAAATGGGTTCTCTCTTTGTACTCTAGAACAACGTCTATTTATCCTTTTCCTGATGCTGAATAACAATTGATTTCCACTGAATATGCCTAATTTTAACATCGCCCATACAAATTATGAAACATATACTTGGACTTATTCTAGAATTTCACCAACATCCTAAAGCAAGACTTGATATGAAGTTGAAACCGACAAAATGATTTTTAGAAGGATTCTTACTTTTCTACCTAATTATATTGTATTTAGATCAACTGGTGCATGTGTCCATTCTCATTTATCGAAGATTTAATTTCCCATGCTACAATATTGTATATTGTTTGCATAGACTGGGTCTGTATCTTATTATAAACTTCATGCGGTAAAAAAGTACGAATATCTTCTAGAGAATCATTTGCATAGAAGGAGATGACGAAACACCCTCATGCCACATTAATAGTAGTAACTGTCATAACACCCTCGGTATTCAACTCTTACTTGATTTTAGAAAATGGTAAAAAAAAAATTGGGAGATGAAATCATGTTGGATGTTCGAAATTTAGTTAAATTAGTGTTGTTCAGTTTCTAGCCGGAGACTGCGTTGAATGTATGTTGTGTACGATTTTGATAATCAAAAGTATATGATTCTCTTGGTTTTAAAAAGCGAGATGCGCTCCGATGCGATAAGGGTCCCGAAGTGCGATGCGCGATGCGCAATGCGAATGCGTGTGCATCACGTAGATGAGGCGCACAAGTAGTCATTAGTGAAACAGATTGTGTTATTCATGATTACCAATATACTAAAACACCATAAATATATAAAAATAGTAGTGCATAGTGGCATTTCTATAACCTCCAACAAGGTGTTGTTTTAACCGGTATGCACCTCCCTTAACAACTTTTGTGCAGAAAGTGCATGTGAAGTTGTTTCTTATCTTAGGGTCTTGGGTACCATATCTTCTTGCAGGATCAATGTTAGATCGAGTATCCATTATAGAAGAGTAGAAGTGTAGGATAAAACAGAGGTGATTGATGAACTAACGAGTGATGATCTAAGAAGATATCGATCAGATCAGTGGTAAAGAAAGAGAGAAGAAAGAAAGAGAGAAGATGTCGATCAGATTACTGTTAAAGAAAGAGAGAAGAAGAAGATTCAGTCGCAAGAGAGAAAAGAGAAGAAGAACGTACACATGGCTATGGGTTAGGAGTATTGTACACGGCTACACGTTATCTCATAATCTAGGGTACATAGAAGTAGGGCCGATTAGTTTAATTAAACAATGCATGGGCTTTTTTAATTGGATTTTATATAAAATTTTCAAATAAATCGGGCTTATCCAAGATGCACTGGGATGCACAGAAGCGTGATGCGCTTTGATGCGCACGCATCACCTCGCAACATGGACTTCGCATCGCAACAGCATACTGAAGCGATTTTAGCTGCGCCTCGCTGCGCTTCGCACCTGATGCGTGCTTTTTTAAACCAAGATGATTCTAACTTTTGGTGTTAAGTTGATAGATCATAAGATGGGCATATTGGTTGCTTGTTCTATTTTCTAATTTGGGATTGCTTTTTCTTTATTTGAAACTTAGAAAATTATTTCAAAATGAAACTCAAGAACAATGATAATGCCTTTTTAGTTTAGAAAAACAAGAAAGTCGCGTCCATTTTTGTCCAACTAAACATGGTTGTACTTCTCTACTTAACAATGGTGGGGCATTTTTTATTGATGGTCCTGGTGTTACAGGGAAAACTTTCCTATATAGAGCATTATTAGCCTGATGAAAAGGAGGAGGGTAGTACTGAAAAGGGAATTGGCAATCCTCGGGAATCGGAATCTGCTGTTGAGCATATATCCCCGCGAACATATGCTCACTCCACTGTTGGTTGACATTCTGATGGTAGCGGATGTCACGTAGACCTCCCTGAACGTCCACCATACGAGTGTTTATCCGAGCGATCTGAGCAGAGAGCTCGTCAATGGACGATTGGGACGTGGGAACCTCCTCATCATCCGCCTCCTTATCCACCACCGCATCCTTATCAACCGCCTGACGGATGCGGTGGTGGATAAGGAGGCGGATGATGAGGAGGCGAATGATGAGGCGGTTCCCGCGTCCCAATCGTCCATCGACCAACTCTCTGCTCAGATTGCTCGGATGAATACTCATATGGTGGACGTTCAGGGAGGTCTACGTGACATCCGCTACCGTCAGGATGTCAACCAGCAGTGGAGCGAGCATATGTTCGCGGTCCATATGCTCGGCAGCAGATTCCGATTCCCGAGGATTGTCAATTCCCTTTTCAGTACTACACTCCTCCTCCTTTCCACCAGGCTAATAATGCTCTACATAGGAAAGTTATCCCTGTAACACCAGGACCATCAATAAAAAAATGACCCACCATTGTTACTATCTACTTTTCTAATTATTGTATCAAATGCAAGTTTTTTGTTTTTTGTTCAGATTTTGTATTGCTCTTTGATCTTTTTCTGATACAATGATACTTTTTTATGTTGCTAGTTCTCTTGTGTCATCTTCTAAATCAGCATATGATAAATCATTTGGCAATATATCAAACTCGTGAAGTTGTCTTCCATTAGACTGTAGCAATGTATTAATTTGCTTAAATGCGCATCGCTTTGCTTCAGTTAGTGAAAGAATATCGTAGTGTACAAAGTCTTCAAGCATGGCATCTTCAAATGATTCCCATAATTTTCTTGGATTGTTTGGATTTGTAAACACAAGTAAGGTAGCAAAAAGTCTTCGTAATTCATATGGCCTGTGGAAGTTTGATGCCTCTTCCAAACATAATTGTTAGTTGTTATCATCAAGTGGGTATCCATGTAGTAATGCAGATTCTCGAAAGGTGTCAACTGTTTGTCCTTTACAAAGCTTAAGGCCATCGTATGACTTTGGACATCTTTTTTTTGATAATAGTATTCTTAAAAAATATCTTTCGCCTTCACTTGGGTGTGCTAACACTATTCGTCCTATTGAATCTTCAGTTTGTCTAGGTAACCAGACTTTGTTAGCTGGTTTCCATACAAAATGGTCAGGAAACTCAACATATGTTAAATTAAGATGTTGTGCATATCTCTCTGTACTATTTTTAACAAAAAATCAGTTAGCATTGTTGTTCTTTTACCTAGATTATCTACAATATTAGTCGATTGTTCTTTCTTTTTGAATGTTATTGGTTGATAATTTTCCAAATGTAGAGGCAAATGAATAACTGTTGGTTTGATTTCACCCGATGAAAATCTAAAAATTCTCCAAGCTTCCTCTTGGGGTGATATCCACATACCTGCTTGAAATTGATCTATTTCATTTATGCTAGATGAGTGATCATCTTGTGTTACAAAAAAAAACTTATTTTGTCAAATCCCTTGCATATGTACTTATAAATGTATTTGACAGCTTTAATTGTAGAGCATATTTCTATATTTACATGACAATCAAACTTACAAAGTAAATAGGAATTGTAGGGAACAACCCATCTAGCTTGGCACCTCGAACTATAACTTTAACTCCATTGTCAGGTCTTCGATATGCTGGATATGCATCATTATTTTATGTTGTTACATCACAAAATGTTTTTGGATAAAAATTCTTACAATATCCCTTTTTTTTATACAAACATTTTTGGGATTAAGATTACCACAGGGACCATGAAGCATATGTTTCACTACCATGCGAAATAGATGAGGATTTGATCTTTCATTTGGTATTTCTGCTGAAACTATTTCATCATATTCTTTAGCATGGTACATCTTATAATGATTTCCAAGTATTAGCAAAAAAATGAGCATGTGGAATACCTCTTTTTTGAAACTCCACAACATAAGTGTATGCAACAACCTTTCCAAATATTTCATTTTTGAAAATCTCGTTTTTAAATTGCTCAAGTTTTGTATGGAATACTCTAACAATTGAATTCGCCCTATTTTGTGCTTCCTCATGGTGCATCATGTGTTGTTTGATTTCTGGCCAATTAGGATTACATGTTAAGGTTAAAAAAATGTCTCACTTACCAAACTTTTGTATAATGCCATAGCATCAATGCATTTTCATCTCATGTTCCTTGGACCACCAATAAAATTTGTTGGTAAAACCACTCGTTGACCAATTGCTGATGCATTTGTCTCACCACTTGCCATAGCATCTACAACTCCTTGAAGTAACTCTTGTCGTAACTCTTGTTAATTTCTATAAAATGCTAATCTTTGTGTCTCTAATTTTACATAACTATCAACTATATATTGTTGTAATAAGCGACCGAAAAGCAATATACATGACTTATCATGTAAACGTATTTGAAGTTTGTAAGCATAATATTCTCTAACACATAATATTCTCTAACACAGACATAATTTGAGTTCTCTATAATTTTGTTCAAAACTGCCAAAAAATATTAATTAGTTTCTTAATACCACGTTGTAGAGGAAAAAAAAAACAAAAAAAAAAAAAAAAACAAAAAAAAAACCCTTAATGGATCATGTTTACCTTTTTGTTCTATATTTAATAATTCACTTGCATATGTAGCATCAAATGGCGAAATAAGCCTTCCTATTCCACTATTACCTTGTTTATTGGTAGTTTTTTTGGGAATGTGTTCTTACTTGTATATTTCTACGACCATGTTCTCCGTTCTCTTCCCCTTCAACTCATAGTGTCACAACTTGTGAAACTTCTGGTTTGTTATATACTCGTAGATCTTGTCCCGGAATAGTCTTAAGAATAATCTTATATTCATTCAAAGATGGAATGTCTCTTAAATTTCTAAAAAAATGTGCATATGGATTATACTGTAGATAAGTTATACACGTTGCAATTAAGCCTTTGGATAATCGTGGAGAAGATGTTTGTCGATTTTCTATTTCATTGTTTGTATCATGAAAATATAATTGAAGGTTTTATTAACTTTTCGCTTTAGGTTGTAGATCGTTCATGAAGTGATATATTTGACCTTGCACTCTAAAAGTGTAAATACCCTTATTTCTTCTTGTAAGTTTTTTATCAGCTTTAACACCCAATGAAGTGAATGCGAAATGATTGTTATATGTTCTTATATATGTTCTAATTGATTTTGTCTCATCAGAGTTAGATGTCAATAAATCTTGCATGATGGGTAGGAGTTCATTACTGGATAAAACGATACGACCTTCTCAACAACAAAAATTTGATGTTTCGGAAAAAAAATTCACAGCATGACAATAGCAACACCTTGCTTCTGGAATAACATCGGCTAAAAAAAATTACTTGTTGTAAGAGATTCTTTCCTTTTCTGTTGCTATTTTTTGCCTATATTTGTAGATTTCTCATTTGATGGACCCAAATCTCTAAGTATTCTTTTGTTAAGTCTTGCTTTCTTTAGTGATGTTTTCATTTAAATTGCATATACTTTTATGTATGGTATCAATTAATTGTTCGTTTAACTTGTTTATTGTAACATTTGTATTGCAAGTCATTTTTAATTTCTTCTTTTTCCATTTTATAACACTTCCTTTCTTAATTGTTTCTTATAAGCAGGAGCACCATTAAGCATATCCAACTTTTCTATCATCTCATCACATTTATCAAAAAAAATTTCTAATTTATGATAGCTATCCTCCTATATAGTTTCTTATCTAGCTTGAAGCAACCACCGATAGTTATTTTTGTGTGATCTGTTGATGGTTGATGATTACCAATCATGGTATTGAAATTTGATGATAATCGTTTAATAATTTTAATTGGTATATCATATAACTATACTGATGGATGTGTTATTCTTATCTGAGTCTTGTAATTGGCACTTTATTGTCACCTCTGATGAAGATTATAATATTGTGCACGAAAAAAATTAAGATACTTCATAATTAATGACTTACATGACACATGTGTGGGTCGTTTTGGTTGGAATCACTTTTCAATTGTAAATCTGGTACATTTGAGTAGTTGATGATCTGATCTGGTTCATTACCAATAGTTAGTTCATCAATTTCAATTAACAAATAAATTATGATTGTAATTTTCATTAAAAAAGATTATGATTATACCTAAATGCAAGTTTTATTTAAATGATCGGTTGTTCCACTGATTGAATTAATTTAATACGACTTTAATTTGTATGTAACTTATATGCCTATAAATATATTAAAAAAAGATTGTAATGATGCTATTCTTATATTGATTTTTTATAAAGCATGCCAAAAATACGAATTTCTTCATATGATATAAATATTTGTATTGCTCCATCTTTGAAGAAATAATGCAAAAGTATCATAAGGGACAATTTTTCGAATTAAGATTTTGAAATTTCATACTGGAACAAATTCTGGAAGAAAATCATAAGGGACAATATTCGAATAGTATCATGGAGGCAGAATTTCATGGGTCATTTTGATTAAGGGTAAAAAACAGGAAAGCTTCTTTTTTAATTAGGGGTTGCAGAAAACATACCAGTGGAGGGTTAATAGATTGCTCATTCTTCTTTGATTTTGTATGTAATTCAGCAATTGGATCTGTTAATATCAAACAAGAACGTTCATCAATAAACAAAAAAGATAATATTGTTGTAAGAAACTGTTCTAAAAAAACTAAAAACCATTAAAAACTAACATAAACTCATTATTGATAGCACATTATATTATATTATATTTACATTAACTAATTGTTAACAACACATTATAAAGACATCTACTCAAAGCCTGGTCTGCTTCAATCAAAGGCAGTATGCAAACGAATGCGGTCATTTTAGAATGCTGGAAATGCCCTGTTGATCTTTTTTCAGGTCTATTTGTGGAAATCTTTTAAAGTAAAAGAGTCTAACTTCTTTATAAATTTATATACATTATAAATTTCCTATATCTTTATCTTTACAATTTATTGAATGTTAAGCATTGTGAATTTATTAATTAAAACTATGCCTAAATTTCAATCTTCCATGCTTAATTACTTTCTCCATGTGTATCACTGGAACCTAAAATAAGAAAAAATTATGATCACTTAATATGTTCAGCATTTCTAACTTTTGTAAGATTGTCTTTCTATTAGCTCGTGATATGTGGATAATAAATGGTACAAATTCATGAGTTTGATCCAAGACAAGATATCAAGATGAACTACCCAAAAAATAGTGATCACATTCCTCTACAAACATCAAAGATAAGTATTCACTGAATATGAAACATAGAATTGCAAAATATAACCCTATGAAAAAGAATACACACATGTGAATAAAATGGTTAAGCATCCATTTTATTAAATTTTCCAATATGGTACAATGGTCCTCAATAGTTTTGGAATCCAACTGATTGTTTGGGTGAGGAAAACAAAATAAAATCTTCTACCAGTATTATCTAAAAGTCAAGAACAAAATAAACAATAGATAGACACGCCAAATATAAGCCTAAATAGAATGAATCAATACATGCATAAATTCGTTGAATATTTCATTTGTACTTCATTTCCTCATATTCTAGTGGTTTATGGAGACCTGGGACTTATTTAATATGATTTTTTTTCAATTGATAACAATTATAAAATACCATCTGACAAAATAGACAAGAAAAAATAGATCAAGGGACCATAATAGACAATTTCTCGTACAGAAACAAGCCCTAAAATCAATGTTCAAACAAAGTGAAAGAACTTACCCCGATGGATTTCACATGGAATCCCGAGAGTGTAGTAATTCAAAATGAGGCTATTGGCCAGTGTTGGCAAGGACATTACATTTTCCCTCTTTGGCTCCGCATTTAAAAACATTACATTTTCAGGGATAATTTCAAACGGTAAAAATTATGACTTTTTGGAGGATCATGTAATTTAAGTGAAAACCGAATGAATATTACCTTTTTGAAGATTCAAGGACCAACAATCAACCGACCATCGGCAGAAGTGACTTGGTGGAATATTTGCACAACGAATTAGGTTTTCTTTTGGGTGGATGATATGTCGGATTCCACTTGGGGATACAGTCGTACGCGTTGCGAAAGAGATGTGGGAATTGGTGGATAAGTCGATTTGTAGAAGGGAGTCGTAGAAGTTGAAGAGAACAGGAGATGGATTGAATCGAAGTGACGAGCTACTGATAAATTGCGTCGATCGGTGAGGGTGGGTTACGTGGCGATTATGGAACCGTGTTATTTTTTTTTTTTTTTTGCGAACATATCAGTAAACGAGTCTTTTTATATAGTAATGTTTTTTTTTTTAAATAGACTTCTCCAATTTCATTTTCAGTGTAGTCAATTTTTAATAAAATCGGGTTAAGTAACCAAATGAGTTGGTTAGTATTTGCCATAGTTTGATGAATAAACTTATGAAGTATTTGCCATAGTTTTGACGAATAAAATTATGATGTATATCCATATATTACTATTATGATATTTATGTTTATGTAAATTACATATGCATATTTATATGTATTGACCATATTCACAAAAGCAATGCACTTCAAGATTATGATAATGAAAGGAGATAGTAACAGATCAGAATTTAAAATTAATATGATAAAAAAAAATTAGGTTTATTAGTACAATTATTAATTAGTAAGTTTAGTCGTTTCTAATAAAAAAAATATTTTTAGGTATTCAATTCTCGTGAGCAACTAATAGATTGAGTCCAAACAGATTAAGTTACGCTATTGTAATAAAAAGATCTACTATTAACATATAAAAAAAATAATAAAAAAATCTGTGTGATTGTGAATGTGTTTACAAAAATACAAAAATGTCAATAAAAAATACCGGTAGCAAAAGAATAAATTGTCCCTTTATTTTGCAAGACAATTATTCTTAAGTCGATAATTATTGATCATTAAAAGCGATATATGAAATGCACAATCATGAATTTGCCTTATATTTAGAATGTCAACTATATCCAAATCTTCTTTCTTAAAGTGAAACCCAATTAATGGAAGAATTGAATAGAAAACATGTGAAACCATGAGATATATTATCTAAATTAAAAAGAAAAATGTAGAAAATATATACATTCTTTCATCAATATATAATGAAAACCCAAAATTCAAGAAGAATAAGAAAATTAGCAAAACTCAAATGCAAACCGTTATTTTTTTTTCTTAGATAATAATAACTATGTATATTACAGTCATGCATATACATCAACAAACAATTCGCTTGATGTGGTAACGTATAAAACAAACATGTACTAGATGCCCCTCCTTGAAAGAGTTGGTGTCACTCCAACTAATATGACTTTTTGCATAACATTTGTCTATATGGATAACGAAACATAATTTAACTACCTGTGAGCATTAAATTGTTTAAAATCGACAATTGATAGATGCGTGTTTCCAAGTGTTGTTTCAGATAGGAGATTTAGATTCTAAAAGATTACTTTGTAGATGACATATCAATACAACTAATAAAATAAAACACAATAGACTAATGTTGGATTATTGTTGGACTGCTTTCTATAAATGATAGAAAATATTACTCCAATGTGAAACAAAAGAAGCATACATTGTCAATGTCACCACTTAAAAAATTCTAATAGATTATCCATGTATTTATTAAACACGTATTTTATTTTGTTATATTTATTTAATCAAAAGTTGATTTAAGTTTTTATATATTCAAGATGTTATTGTTTATTTGAAGACAACATACTTGACACCAGAAATTTTTATATTTGTTTGGACCTTACAAATTTCTTAACTCCGGCAATCACAAAATGATTAGTGGAAAGTCAACATGCCATTTTTTTAAAATTATAATCGCCTATATTTAATATTGTTACTTGTTTTATTAATAAAATTATTTTTTTGATAATAGAAATATTTATTATATACTGATATACTAATAATTCATTTTGAATGTAAAAAACATGATGTTAAGGGTTGAACTTTATACCTAGAATGTGTATCTTTTGCTTTTTTATTGTTGGATTCTTTATTACACGATGAAAAAAGGTGTTGGTTTTAAAATAAATATATGATTCTTTTGAATTTTGATGCATGTTTATCTTTTTGTTGACATTGCAAAAAAAAAAAAAAAAACATAAACGGTAACCAAACCAAATATTTCACCATGCATATACCAACCTTTAAGTATTTGTAAATAAAAAAAAAAAAAAAAAAAAAATGAAGAGATGGTAATAAATTCATATGTATAAAAAGACCATTATGACACTAACCGGTCCCTAGTAAATTAGTAACATGCCAATCTTGTTCCTAACCAGTTTCTCTAGTAATGATGGTGGCCGGGTCGGGTCCTGCCCTTAACCGGATCCATGTGCCTTTTGTAAAAATAAACAAGATCCAATACTTACACGTAAATACACTAATTTTGTCTATGATCAAAGAACATATCTCCATATATACTCTTTGCTTCACTCTTCTTTTTTTCCAATTTCAACCTTCGGGCTCTCTGGAATAAACGACGACCAAAACAGAGGCACAACAGTACACGCCGCCTGTATCAACAGCGCTTTACGTAACCCTGAAAAATCAGTTTCTGTAATCTCAACATACGAAGCAAGCGCAACGCCAATATACCCACTTATAATAAACGCCAATGCAATAGAAGACATCACAAACGCCATTAGAGACCCTTCACAACCAGGTGGACATAGCTTCGCCATTAGAACGCTGAAAGGTAAAGTCTTGAAGTAATACAAAACCTCCAGAACCCCAGAAACAAAGATGACGTATAGCGAGTCTGGTATCCCGATTCTATGATAGAAACCGGAAACGAATAGTGAATCTGACACCATTAGAATCGCCAGTATTGCTTGAATTGTAGAGATTAGTTTTCGTGGGGGGATGGATTTTAGACGACGATTGTAAACGATGCCCCATGTTAACATCGCGACTTGACCGAATACTTTTGACATTCCGAGAACTGACGACTCGATGTTTAGATGTTGTGTTTGGTAGTAGAACATTGTTCCTGTTAGGGCTGGGATTATGGCGTATGATGCTGCAAACCATGAAATCGGTTGATAAATCTCGGGTTTTCTTAGCACGAGTAAGAGATCTAAGAATTGTTTTCGTATTCCGTGATTGGATTTGCTTTTTGGTAAGTTGAGGGATTTTTCGTTTACAGAGATTGTGAAGAAGAACTGAAGTGTTAATAGGATTCCGAAGAATAAGAACATTGTTTGTGAGGAGAATCGTTCGATTGAAATGCCACCCAATAGGTTTCCCATTACACCGCCAATTGATCCAGCCACCCACGCGAATGATGGGAGATCGGAGGAAGAGGATGACGCTGAATTTCCGGCGGGTTGCTTCGCGCATTCTGCTACTACGGCGTCGTTTGCGACCTCGACTATTGAAGCGCCTAGGTTTCCGAGGAGGAGGTTAATGGTGATTGTGAAGAAGGAGATGCTTGAAGGTGGTAGGGATGCAATGGAGAACCACGATAAAGCCTGTAAAAACGCTGCAAAACATCACCACGATCGAATTCAATCAAAATCGTAACCGATTTTTGATTTGTAAATGGCGGAATAGATTGAAAAACGGTTTACTATGATTACAACCACAGCCGCATACAAGTACGTGTTAATTAAGATGCAGAATAAAAAACGTATAATCAATAAATGAAGAATTAGATTCACGAGATGCGAAGAACAAAGATAAAAACGTAATGGTACCTCCGCAGGCAATGTATGGGATACGATGTTGGCCGGAGATATAAAATGAATCCGAGAGAAGGCCGTAAAACGGTTTTGCAACCATCGGAAGATTTGCGGAATTCTGGAGGATTTGCAGCGTCGATGGATCTACATGGAGTCCGTCCTTAAGGAAGAAGATGACCGCCATCCACGGGTAACATCGAAATCCTTGTATCCAAAACCCTATCCCTAGCAACATCCTCCGTCGTCCTCGTTGTTGTGCGCGCTCACGTTCTTTGCACTTGATTCCATTGTTAGTTGTTGTTTTTGTGATTATTTCGAGTCTTTTTTCCGGAGGAGATTCCATCGCCACCGTTTCTCCGCCACCGGTCGCTGTAATTGTCGTTTCTGATTTTATGTCTGTCGCCGGAAAGGAAAAGATTATAAGAGATGCTAAAAAGGAAAAGATTGATCCTCTCAATTGCCATAAAGAGGATCCTGAGTCACCGTGGCAGAGACAGATGTTTAGAAGTTCTGTCATAAACAACCCTAAGGTTTTAACATTTTCCAAAAGAAGTCCCTTTATAAAACTTTAAACAGAGTGAATTACAAAAAGAGATAAAATACAAAATAATAATCGTTCCTGGTGTCTGCTTTGGTCACCAAAGTTTAAAATAGCAAAAATTTATGTTTCAACTTCAGCAACACTTCCATTTAAACTTTAAAGTACTAAAAAGCTACCAAGTTGGTTCATATTATTTTAAATAAATATTTTTTTTTTCAAATTCAGGTATTTTCTTAATAACTTTGGTAATTATTACGATAAATCTTTAAATAAATTGCACTTTGTCATATGAAAGCTTGTTAACATTGTTTTATTGCAAAAAGATTACAATTTTTTTTGGAAAGGATCTTCCTAACGAAGATTGAAATAAAGATTGTGAAATCAAGCTATTCAAGCACTTTAACTACATTAATTTGATTCATTTAACTATACTCCTACAATTAGTTGTCAAAATTGTTTTCTTTTAAGCAATAAAGCCATAAAGCATTATTACATATAATAATCCATATGTCCATACGTTTCACTTTCCCTTATGATTTGTGCGCTTCAAAGTTGTTTAAAATGCAACTTTATCACAAGTCTTTTAAATAAATACAATATACCATCATCATTAAATACTCATCAACATAAAAATTGATCTATATTTACTAAAACAAAGTCATTCGATGTGGCTGTTGCATGTTTATATATATCTTGAAGCACAAATTAACCATTTTCACCTGCAAAAGCCAAAAAAACAGGGAATTTATTCAACCCCACAAGAAGCAAGGGTGATATATGTGTGAAGATGGAATTAGTAAAACCAAAAATCACAAGTGTATTTTAAAATGGAGTTAAAAAAGAATTAATATACATGCACACATTAGATATATACGACTGTGTGACGTGCTATAAATTACCATTTTAAGCAAATAAACTATGCATATCACATCAGTGGGGCCCTAATTACATGTGAATTGACAATCTTTTGTTATGTTGATTAGAGAGAAATTAAAAATAGGAAGTAAATGAACATCAATAACAACAAAGGATACAAGGGTGGATACAGAGTTTCATAAACTGCTGAAGCCTGGATAGTATTTCCTACTGCAAGTTTCGTGCAAAATGTCACAACTTAAATCAACACATCCCCATTACCAAAAACGAAAAATAACTTTAAAAAATATCGATTTCAAGAACATACCTCCTCTTAGCTGCTGTCTAACAAAATTGGTATATCGATTAGAGATCATCATCATGATTCATATCAGGAGATTTAGAAGGATCATATCTGTCCTCAAATTCATTCCTCTTTTGATACTTTCTTGAGTGTTTATACTCATCTCGTTTCCTATGCTCATGAGATCGGCTCTTACTAGTATGATATTCTTCATGTCTGTTTCTGTTACTTTTTTCTTTAATCTCATCCCCAAATCTTGATGATTTCATACTGATATCAGAAACTGAGTCTTTCTCTTTCCGATTACTTTGTGGAACTGCTTTCTTTGATATCTTTGCCTCGTTATCTAAATCATTCATGGAAGAAGGTTTTGATGCAAGCTTTGTAGCATCTAAAGAAGATTGACCACTCCCAGCCATGTATGCATGCTTGATTTCTTCCATGTATTCATCAATTATATCCCTCATCACCTTTTAATAACAATAATACAAACATAAGTACATTGATAAAAGGATATGTTGATGACAAAGTAAAATAATAGCTCTTCACCTGGGTTGTGCTTCTTTTCATTTTCTTGCCACGATATGACACTCTTCGCCTTTTGTAATCCCTTTCTTCAGCTAACAATTCCTCTCGTGACTTATTTTTATTTCCATCCTATAATGATTTAAAGATGTTGAGATTAGACTAAACAAAATTAACCACTACTAAATAAGGGACAATTACAATAACAATTTACAAGTTTAGTTTACTACCTGGTTACCTCCATGATGCCAAAGCACTCCATCATGTTCAATTATAGCTCTGTAATTTGAACGCTTTCCGCGTTCCTCATCAGCCATTTTTGATATATATCCATGTTCTTGCACTCTGAAATATAGTTAAATGTTAATTGGAAGATGAGAAAATACTATGAGAATAACTGAATAAGTGTGTTTGAGAAATCAGTAATGTAAGCACCTTTGATAAACTGGAATAAACCGTGAAGCTCGAATGGTTCTTATTCTTGTTTCAAACAAGAAACGTTCATGTAATGCAGCAACAGCTGCTGCTACCTGGGAAACCAAAATAATCCCTGTTCTTCTTCCATCATTTTCCATGGCAGCTTTACAATCGATCTGACTTACATTTACTGATTTGCTAGCCCTTTGTTCACCATAAAGAAACAAAGATTTTGATGCAGAAATCAGTAGGAATTGCTTTAACATGCTGATTGCAAATACTTTTCCGTTTACTTCTCCATACAATATAGCAAGTTGTGAAGCTAACCATGTCAATACTCTGGACATTACAGGACACTGAAAGCAATATTTTCCATCTTTTGGGTCTCCTTTAGAGATCGAAACCAGATACCCAGCAGCTTCCCTAGCTATGGCTTTCATACAGAGCCTAAACAGCAAGAGAATGTGATCCCTCGTAAACACATCAATCACAACACCATAAAATGGAGAATTCACCAAGATCCATTCCATTAGATACTCCTTCTGAGATATGTAAGAACATAAAACTGAGCGAAGGACGCTGTAAGAATAGCTAGTGGGATAATCATTCCATTGATTAATTTCAGTTCTAACATTCCAGCATTTAGAAGCAAGTAGCTCAACAAGATCAGAACTACTACACAAACCATCAATGGTGTCGTTTATATCAATGCTACGATCACCTGTTAAATCTGCACACTCAGCTGATAAAACAGCAGGCAACGTAAGCGTACAATCAGATTTGTTATTGTCATGAGGAAATGTAACAACCGCGGGACAATCCCGGTAGAAAAAATTCGAATCAAGTGATGTATGGTAACCATCTAGGGAAAGACATAAGTCTGTGGTCGCATCGTTGGAAAGCGTCTGGGTGAGACAATTGTTTTCCTGATTAAGTGGAGATTGCGGAGCGTGAAGGGAGTTAGGGTAGTGAAGGGAGTCACATAGGGCAAGATCGATAACTGCAGGAGAAGAGGGGCATCGAAGGTGGTGTTTGAAGAGGGAGTTGGGAGGGACCCGGTGGTTGGAGTTGTAAGGGCAAGTGGCAATCGCATCGGTGGCGGGGGTGGTGGTGGGAAGTATATTGGAAAGGGACTGGATGGTGGTTTTAGAGAGGTTGATCAGGTGTTTTAGGGTTGAAAGGGTGGTGTGGAGATCAGGAGATTGGGTTGGGACGGTGGTGATTTTGTGGTGGTGATGGTGGTGGTAGGGCGGAAAGATTTGAGAGTTAGGGTTCGGGTTTGCGCCTGGAGGTGGAGGTAGAATGGCGAATGAAGGAGGCGGCAAGTCCATGGGGAGGAGAGTTCAGAGTCCAAGCCGACGGGAGGAAACTTAAGAGTATAGTCAAAATCGAATTAATTTGAGAATACGACATCTGCTAACTATCTATTTTTTTTTTTTTACCTGTTATATTAAATCTTAAATGTAAACGTTTTCAATAAGTTTATTAGTACAAAAAAAAATAATTATCTAAATATGAACAAAACGAAAAGTAAAAATTAAATTACATGAATGGTCCATGTAGTTTGGGGGAATTTGTGGTTTTGATCTCTAAGTTATTTTTTTAAACTTAAATGGTTTCTACTGTTTATTTTTGTTGCGCGTTTGGTCCCCATCTTACCTAAAAATACTATTGTGCCCTTATTAATTTATTTTTTTAATTAATTTTCTTATCTATGTTTATTTTTTACATATTTATAAAAATTAATATACCACACATATTTGTATCTCCTCGGATGATCCCTACTATTTATTTTTTAATTAATTTAATTTTTTAACTCGGATGGTCCCTACTATTTAATTTTGTTACGAACTTGGTATCTGTCTTACCTAAAAAGACTGTTGTGCCCTTATTAATTTTTTTTAATTAATTTTCTTGTTTATGTACTTATGCTTTATATATTTAAGAAAAATTAGTAGACCTCACATATCTGTATCTCCTCACCATCCCATCTTTCATCATTCTCAACTTCTATTTATTTTTCATCTTTAGTGATATCGACGTCTTCATCATCACTTCTTTTTTCGGTCCTTCAACTCCGTCGAAACAACACCACAACCCACTAAATATGAAGAGACAGTAGGTTATGGTGTTGGTTCGCCAGAGTTGAAGTACCAAAAAAAAGAAGGACGGTGAAGACGTTGATGTTACTAAATATGGAAAAGAAATAGAAGATGGGGAAGATCAGAGATGAGATGGTGAATGGTAAGACTCAAATTAAATTTCTCAAATGTGGTTTTAGGTTTACGGTGATAAGATACATATATGTGGGGTATATTAATTTTTTTATAAAAAATAAATACATAAATAAGAAAATTAATTTAAAAAATTAATAAGGGAAAAATAGTATTTTTAGATAAGACAGAGACCAAACGCGTAACAAAAATAAACAGTAAGGATCATCCGAGTTAAAAAAAATTAATTAAAAATAAACAATAGAGATCATCCGAGGAGATACAAATATGTGTGGTCTATTAACTTTTTTAAATATGTATAAAATAAATACATAGATAAGAAAATTAATTTAAAAAATAAATTAATAAGGGCACAATAGTATTTTTAGGTAAGACAGAAACCAAACGCGCAACAAAAATAAATAGTAGGGACCATTTAAGTTAAAAAAATAAATTAGGGACCAAAACCACAAATTTCCCCAAACCATAGAGACCATTCATGTAATTTAATTTTTAATTTTCATTTTGTTCATATTTGGGTAACTATTTTTTTTGTACACATCTAGGTAACAAACTTGTTGAAAGCGTTCACATCTAGGATTTAACCTGCTATAGCACGTCATAATGGTCATATGTGAATACTTCCAAAAAGTTTGTTACCTACATATGTAAAAAAAAATATAGTTACCCAGATGTGAACATATCGAAAAGTTAAATACCTTGATAAGTCATATTCCCAATTAATTTTGTTACCTAAAATAGTTTTATCTGTTGTAAATATCTAATGGAAGATATGTTTATTTTTGCAGTTTAGTCATTTTTGACCTTCTACTCGGAACAAGAAAGCTTTGTAAGGGATAGCATAATTATTTTTCCCAATAAAATATATAGAATAACACCATCGAGGAGCTGAAAAAACAAACATGAGATTGCAAAGGAAAAGAGAAAGCAAACAAGGCTTGTACAAGATGAAGACAGCAAGAAATAAAGCTAAGCAAAACAACAGGGAAAGTACAATAAATCCACAAAATGAGACCAAACCTAAGGAAGACCACAAGCAACAGCTAGAAAAGGGGTGTTTGGCTTAGCTTTTTAGAGATCAAAAGATCTTTTTGGAAAAACTACAAAAAGTCAGGTTTTCCTGACTTTTCCAAAAAGTTGATTTTCCTTCTTTGCAAAATCCAAAAGTAGATTTTAGAAGTCTTTTGCCAAACATCTTTTGCCTATGATCTTTTTCTAAAATGACTTTTGGCCATTCAAAAGCTAAGCCAAACACCCCCATAATAAATCAAGAGCAACACCATGCGAATGAACCAATAGGCAGCCTCTATGAAGAGAAGCAAATCGCCCACATAAGAAACATAAAAGAAGCAAGGGCAAAACCATCGTCCGGACCAAAAATCTCACCAACAACTAGAAAATCAATAGCAAACAATGAAATGCATCATATGAACTATAAATCAATATATGTGGAAATTAATAATAATTAACCTCAACATAAGCATCCAATACACAAGGTCAAAACTGTACATCCGGTCAAAAAAGAACACCAACAAAGGAAGAGAGCAGCCGGAACAGTAAAGCTCAAAATAAACCCAATTACCCCAACCATAAAGGATTAAGCAGAAAGAAAACCATTACATTCAACCATAACTATGAACAAACAAAATGTAAATGAATAATGGAATAGACCACATGAGAAAAGAAGATCTCCCACGGTAAATGAGAAAACATTTAGAAACATTAGGATTACTAAACCACTAACAACTATGTGCAAAAACATTATGATTACAAACCCACATAAACAACAAATTAATGTCTGAATTTATAAACTTATTGGGGGGGGGTGATATTTCATGATATGGTCGTCCGATCTGAAATCCATCGGAGGGTTGAAAAATAGACGACACTCTCTTATGAAAGTACGTTGATTGTGATGGTTGTTGGTGTTGGTGAAGAACCAACCTTAATCTCCTAAATTGAACCTTAACAATCACTCTGATAATGAATTAACCACCTCATCGACTCCCCCATTTGATTCTTAATCTTTGTGGGCAACATGTAAGGAGTAGTACCTCCGACAGTTTGATAATAGCAACAACAGTTATAAAAAAAAATAATAAAAAAAATAAAAAAAAAAAAAAAAAAAAAACTCTTGGAGGGGTAGCACGTGCTACACCCGCGTTTCCCGTTAGGCATTGATAAAGATGATGTAATGGTTAGGGTCAACAATTGTAATATTTTAAGGTTAATAAAAGATAGTTATTTGATTATTGTGTGGTATTTGTATTTGTGTGTATATAGTGTGTTTATAGCTACAAAATAAAATAGGGATAGAATTCGTGTCTAAATAGATTAATGATTAGGACAAATAACTTAAGAGTAAGATGCAGTAGTCGTACAAGCATTTTGCATATATAAAGAGCGCTCAAAACGGACTTAGTGTAACATCCTAAAAATACATGCCAAAATTTTTGTTTTAATTAAGTTATTACATAAAACCATCAATATAAAAACATTCATAATAATATCTCATGTCAAAACTAAAATATCAATAATCAAAACTTAATATCATAAAACCATATCAGAGTATAATCCCAAAGATCTCATGCGCGGAAAATATAGTGTGATGCACTGCGATTGCCGACTCCTTTCCTATGAAAGCAAAGTACCTGAAACCAAAACTGAAAATCGTAAGCACGAAGCTTAGTGAGTTCCCCCATCATACCACATACCATACAATACACATATAACATGCAACTAGGAGATACGGGCTTTGGCCACACTCATGGAGATACGGGCTTTGGCCACACTCAGAGATACGGGCTTTGGCCACACTCATGGAGATATGGGCCCCGCCCACACTCCGCTAAATAGGAGATGCGGGTCCCGCCCACACTCCGTTATCTCTGAGATACGGACCCCGCCCACACTTAGCTACTTCGAGATACGCGCCCTACCCACACTCGACTGTTATGAGATATAGGCCCCGCACATAGTCGGTTACTAGACAAACATACAGGTATCACACAGACAACAAGTATAACTAAATCTATCATTCAGCCATATATATAATAATCATACTCAGCTATGAGACATGGGCCCCGCCCACACTTGGCTAACTAGGAGATACGGGCCCCGCCCACACTGCGGGTCGGCCTTGGTGCCTTAGACCCGTTCCTACTGAAAGGAAACTCACCTCACACTGCTGAAGTCTCGTAGACACAATCCCAGCTACTAAATAACATATTCCCGAACTGTCAATATCAAAACATCACCCAATTAATAATTGGGTTCCAATACATAACCATACGTCTATGCTTGGAGTAAAGACTATTTTACCCCAATATTAGCTTGATCCAATCCTAAGGCCCAATCCAAAGGCCCAACAGTTAACTATGAGTCAAAGCCCAACATATGGCCTAATTTTCCAAATTGGGCCCAAACCTGTACATGGTCATAATTAAAAGCCCAACTACTTAGTTCAGTCCAAACATTTGGCATTTTTAATTGCCCAATATCACATAATCATTAAGGCCCAAACTACGGCCCATCTATGGCCCAATTTTCTAAATTGGGCCCACATCCTCATATGGGCCATACTTTAAAACCCATCAACATATCCTAGTACATATGATTATTCTTAGATGGCCCATTATTGGCCCAAACACCAAAGCCCAATAGAAAGCCCCAATATAAAGCCTAAGTGAAATTAGGGTTTCACATAAAATGACAATTAGGGTTAAGTGTTTCTCACTTAACCCATTAAGGACTTAATCCATTAAGTCCATCACTCTTCTAAATAAATCATATTGTGTGATTGGGCTTAATATACAATTCCATTCCAATGGCACAAATATAGGTCCTGATAAGTCCAAGCCCATAAATCCAATATTAGGGTTTTCTAAACCCTAATTAGGGTTTCCCATCCAATCATGGCCCAATAGGCCCAAAACTTAATCTTTAAGCCCATCAGGGTTTCATTAGGTCAATTATGGTTTTGCTAGTGGGGCACCACCCACTACCACCTCAGGTAGTGGTGGTCAATGGCGACTCACGGTGGTGGTTTGGTTCTTTTTATTATTCTTTTTGCTAATTACAATTACAATGCTTTGATC